TTATTTTTGTTTTTAAGTACTAGGGAGTGAACCCAGGGCCTCCCACATGCTAGTCTGGTGCTCTCCCACTGAGCTACACCCTTAGCCCTTTTTATTTTTATTTTTATTTTGAGACATTGTCTCGATAATTTGCCCAGGCTGACCTTGAACTTGCCTCAATCTCTGAGGTAGCTGGGATTACAGGCATGTATCACCACATCCAGATTGATTTGGATCTTAAATGTTATCCAAAGGTCCATGTGTTGAAGGCTTAGTCCTCAGCCCATGGCATTATTGAGAGGGAGTGTCTAGTGGGAGGAAGTTAGGTCATTAAAGGCATGTCCTTGAAGGAAATATTGGGACTCCGGCCTGGCCTTTTCTTGTCTTCTTTGCTTTCTGGCCATCATGAAATGAGCAGGCCTTCTCTGCCACAGGTCCCCTGCCATGTGGCTCTGCTTTCCCATAAGCCCAAAGTGACAGGACCAAATGAACATGGACTAAAACATCTCAGCTAAACTGCCAAAATAAATCTTTTCTCCTTTTAAGTTGATTTTCCCAGGTATTTTGGCACACAAATGGGAAGCTGCTTAACCATTATACATTTTGTAGAATGTCTTTTAATTTTGATTTTTCTGTGACTTTCTCATGAATAGAACTAGGGCTATGGGTTTTGAGGAAAATACACAGAAATCAAGCACCTTCTAAGCATATTGTGTATATGAGTCATCATTTATAATGCTAAACTTGATCACCTAGTCAAGGTAGTTTGTCAGGTTTCTCCCTTTCCATACTCTGTTCTTTGAAAGCAGACCTTTAAATTCTGGCTGCATTCAAAGGAGGCAGAGGATTAAGCTCTACTTCCTGGAGGAGAGAGTATTTACATACATAATTTGAGTTCTTCTATACTATTGATTTGTCTCTGTTCACAATTATTTTTTCATTTATTCATATTATTATGCACTTGTGTGTATTCATGCTTTAGATTATAATCCAATACTACATTATTTATTTTGTCAATTCAACTGTTCAGTTTTGGGCAATAAAGGCTCCTTCGGGTTGGTGCCTGAGTCCCTTTGACATGCTCATATTCCTTGTTGTTGTTTAATAACTTCTTTACTTTCTGGTAATACAGTATGCCTCCACCCTATAATCAACCATCACCCCAAAGAGTTTTGGTTACTTTTATTTACAATAGCATGAAAAAGCTAGGTCTGGGTGCCAGATGGAACTATTCAGGCTTGAAAAATACCCTAACTATTATTATGCACTCTGAAATTTGAAGATAATAATTGTGGGAGTCAAGCAAAGTTACCCAAAAATTGTTTATGAAGAAGTTTCTGAAATAGTGGTTTTAAAGATCTGCTACTATTTTCATCATGGTAGCTCAGTACTAAAAGTTCCAAAATTCAGAGAGCCTTCATGGACCCATAGAGAGAAGAAAAAAATAGGAGAGCAATTAAATAATAATTCCTAATACAGTGACTATAATACAGATCCTAAAAACTAGAATAAAATATATTTATTGAAGGCTTTCTCTTTGCTAGGCACTACGTTAAGAGCATTGCCCTAAAACTAATGCTGTGGGTATAATTTCTCCATTGTAAAAGATCAAAAGTTGAGGCCTATGAAGGTGAAATGTTTATTACAAAGCAATACAGTCAGCAGGAAGCAGAGCTGAGATACCAAACCAGATCAATCTGATTCGGAAAGGAGAGGATTTGGGGATGGTATTCCAAGAACTACTTTTATCTCCTATAGATTTACTGAGGTGTGAATGACAAATAAAGAGTGTTTATATTTAAGATGTATAAAATGTTAATATGGATCTTTATGTGTATGCCAACTATGTCTACCAGATCACAAATGCCACAAAGGGAGGAGTGTCTTATGTATTGCTGTACCTCCTGTGCCTATTACATAGTTGGTATTCATCAGATAACATATTATGAATAAATGTGCCCCAGGATAAAATGAGGAACATTAAACACAATAATACATTTTTCCCACTGTATCATTATGCTTGTATTCCAAATTAGATAATGTATTACAAATAAATATTCTACTGAAAATAGACTTCTAAACTTACATAGTTCACATTTGGCAATGAAGAAAATATGTGAGTAAACCTGCTCTGAGTGATAAAACTTGGCAAACAAAAAGTTAATTAAAATAAGAAGTCTAAGACCAAGAAGCAAATCTCAATCCTTTTCCTCACTGCCAAGATTAAGATGAAACTATGTTGTCAATACTAGATTCTTCTTACATTAACAAATATTACTCTGAAGTAGTTATTCTAAAGCAAAGGATGAGAGTGCCAATTTTATCACATTTAGATCAAAAGTTGTCCAGCACACCTTATTGTAAATGGTATGGTTTTAATAGCATAAGCAAAGTTGGATGATAGACTTTTAAGCCATAAGGAAAGTAACAGACATAACAAAACCATTTTCAAGTACACATCTCTTAGCCAACTTGTGAGCAAGTTTTAAATCATTTCTTCATATGCATTAAATGTATTTAGCAATATGCCAACCCATTAGTTCATTCCTTCATCAAATATTTATTTGGCCCCTATTATGTGCCAGCATTTCTAGGGACCATAGCTATGAACAAAACGGACAAAGATGCTACTGCAACAGAGCTAACAATCCTGGGCAGACAGCAATTAACAAATGCAACAAATAGACGTCAAATGGTGATAAGTGCTGGGAAGAAAAATAATTCATGGAAGGGACTCAAGTTTGCAATTTCAGATAGGATACTTCCTCACTGAGAAAGTGAACTTGAATAAAGAACTGAGAGTAATCAGTGAGCTCAGACATTTTCATCTGGAAGAGGAAAGAGGAAGTACCAAAACCATAAAGGCAGGGCATGTGCCCTGTATGTGTGCGAGGAGACACAAGAAAGCTACAGCAAAGTGAATATGGGATTGAGTGTCATAAGAGATGTGGTAAAGATATAACTGCAGCAAGGCATGGTGGTGCATGCCTGTAATCCCAGCTCTCAGGAGGCTAAGGCAGGAAGATGGTGACAGCTACAAGTCGCAGGCTAGCCTGGGCTGCACACAGAGTTCGAGGCCACCCTGAACTGCATAGTGAGACTCCTTCTCAAAAAAACAAAAACAAAAAAAGAAAAAAAATGTAGAAAAGTGGAAATGTGGGGTGGAGATGATTGTGTGGTATCATGTAGGTAATTCTGAGTACTTTGGCTTTTGCTAAAGAAAGAAATGATTGTGGAGAAGATATTTTTTCCTGTGTTTTGTCTTTTCTTTTCTGGTACTAGGAATTGAACCCAGGCCTTCATATTGGACTACACTCTCAGATTTTTTTAAGGTTTTTTTTTTTTTTTTTTTTTGAGTCAGTGTCTCACTAAGTCACTAAGTTGCCTAGCCTGGGTTCAAACATGTGATTCTCTTGCCTCAGCCTCCCAGAGTGTTGGAATTACAGGTATGTGCCACCACACCTGGATGAGAAAAGATTTTAAAGTATCATTATAGCCTGTTGTTCTGAGAATGAATTATGAGAAGAGAAAGCAAGAAATATGGACGAGACCATAGTGATGAATGAGATGTAAAGTAACAAGAAAAAAGGCTGAAACAAGACTACATAGAACGAACTACTTGCAGGTAGGATGTAGCATATGAAAGAGAGGGAAGAATCATGAACAGTAATGAGGTTTGGAGGTCAATAACCAGATGAATAGACAAAGTTATTGCATTCAGAGATCAGAAAGACTGTTTGCGAAGAGTAGGTTTTTTAGGAAGGGCTGCAAACTAAAAAAATCTCAATAAACATACCAAAAATTATTTTTTTCTGGAACTACCTAAGTTAATAGTAAAAATTTATATGTAAAAATAAGCATGCAAGAATAGCTCACAAACCACTGAAGTAAGATCATGTATGGGAGAAATAGTTCTAATTTACACTAAAACATACTACATATCCACTATAATTAAAAGAGTGTGCTTCTAGCATTTCAGCAGAAAGATGGCCCAGTTCATTAAACTAGAATGTCCGGAAACAGAGTAAGCACATATAGAATTTAGGTACCTGGTAGAGGATAACTAAAATCACTAGGGAGAAGAGAAGATTTCTATTAAATGATGTTTGGATACCTGATAGTCATGTGGAAATATGAGATCCGTATCTTATATATACACAATAATAAACTCTACATGAATCTGCAAAACTGAGGAAGCTCACAGCATATCAATTTATCAAGTGTTCTTGCTTTTGTTGTGCAGGCTGGAAGCTAGCAATCACATTTCTTTTAGCATCTTTGCTTCAGCCCCATTGTCTTAGCCATGCTTTCTTCTCTACCTAATGAAAGGCCAAAATCCCTTCCTTTAAAACACTTCTGCATCTGTTGCACTTGAGGCATATTTTGAGGCATACATTGGACATTGTTTGTTTAGAATCTAGTGTTATTTCATGGTGCACAGGACTGGATCTTCATACAGTGGGTACTTCTGGTAATGTAATTTCCTGGTATGGAGCAAAGCTATAGAATTTAAATGCCTGCTTTGTGTTTTCCCATCCTTGCTCTCCTTAAACAGCATGTAATCTAGAATAAAGAGAGGTGAAGATGAATATCTACATGGAGTAGGGAGGGAGGACCAGATGTGTTTTTTTCTTTTGTATAAGAAATAAAACATGTAAAAACACTGTCTGTTTCCATTAGCTTCTTTCACTCTTTACCTCTGATTGGGCACAGTAGAGTTATGACATTATTAACTTTCCAGATCACAGCCTCATGTGAACTAAATGTTTGTCCCTTGCCAAGATGATAAATCTAGCTCAGCAGCATCTTATGGAAACAGGGCTCTCAAAGACATATCAGCCCTCAGAGAAGTGAACCGGCTCTCCTACGCAGAGATACTAGTCAGATGCTACTTTCACAATTCTTCACAAAAGCAACTTTTAATTGATAGCAATGCACACACTCTGGGAATGTAGATTTCAAATATACAATAAAAAGGTAGCCAAATATGTGAGAATCTTTTAAATTGCCAATATACTTACAGTTTTTTCATTATTTTCAAAAGCTTCTCTGGCTTCTTCAAATGTGCAGACTTCTTCTTTGCACTCACGTTCAATATCGCCCTGTCTGATTTCTTCAAAAAGCGTATTAGCTCTTCGGTAGCGTTTTAATACGGAATTGGCCTTTTCTTCTGTGAGGAAAACTAAAAAGAGATATAATAATAAGCATATGCAATAAAAAACTCATGTGGAAGGTTAATATACCAGATGAAAATTGCCAGATGCTCTTTAGAAAACATAGACAATACCCAAAACCTCTTTAACATTTAGTATTAAATGATTGTATCTGCCTCCTCCCTCATGTTATGAAAATGTCCTTTCAGTTGCAGTTGCCCTGGGTAAGGACACTGACATAATTTACCATGTTATATTCAGACTTTAGCACATTCCTGCCAACTATGAGTGTTTAAATATAGTAATAATGCTCGCACTACTTATATTCAATACTATAAGTGAATATCCCAAGGCATTCTGCCATTGGACAGCAGCAACCAAATCAAAAGCCAGTCTCTCAACTATGAATCTTTGTCCTTCTAGCTAAAAATAAGCAAAATTCCAATTAATAATACAAACCCAGAGAACTCTAACTTGTAAAAACAGTGACAAAATAATATTAAGCAGTTAAGGTAAATTTGATCATAATTCATCCCAATGAAATGCTAATAGCAATTTTGTTCTACATGCAATTACATTAAATATAGCATAGTGACACTTTAATATACCCCAACTCATTTCCCCTTAAAGAAAATTATTTTACACGATTAATAGAGGCATATCATATAAATATTCAAGATGCATTTATGAAACCCTGCAAAGTAAATTGGGAAATAGATATATGTGCGATATAGGATTCTTTTTTATTTTTATATACAAATACATTTTAAGTTCTACAGCAGTTCTGGTTTTCTAACAGTGTCTTGATTGTTTGGAGATATAAATATAAAGCCACCAGAATTTAATCTCTGCTAATGTAAAAATATTTCCTAATGTTACAGATCTGTAACATAGGAGAAGGCACAATACAGAACTTTTAAGGTGATAAAATAAACAGCCTCATTTTTGAAAAAATATTCTGAAGTAAATGGAAAACAATTAAGTGTTTAAAAATAAGAATGACAAGTCTCTGGAGCCCATGCCAATCTTGGGATGCATAAGCAGGTGCCCTCTGTTCTGCTTCGGAGGCTTGGTGGCTCTAACATAGCCTCTTTTTCTTTATAACCAGAAAGGGCTAGGAGATCCCTGGGAAGGAGGCTGGGCAGCCCAGAAGCCAGGAAATGACCTTGTAACTGAAAATTTGCACTTAGGAATACGTAGCTCATATAAAAGAAACACTTCCAAAAGTACATATCTACAAATACTGTGTTTTATTTTCTCCAGCTATTGCATAAAGATACTTTCATAGTAGAATCTAGGAACAAGGCACATTCATTCTCTTATAACTCTTTCCACTCAACTTCTCTTCCATCTATAATTCCAAAATTCTCTACATGTCTCCAAGAGTAAAGAAAATGAATACATTTGTGATTTGGACAGGGTCAGCTTGGGGAGCCAGTTTGGAACCTGCTCTATCCTTTGTCTTGGTAGAGCAAGCAGGAGATGGACTGGGGTGGATTTGGAGCCTGGAAGACATCCTGTTCTTCTGCATACTCTCACAAAATCTCCACATTTTCTATAATCCCAAGACATAACTGCGACCAAGCTATAGGGAGGAAACAGATACACACCCTAATAGTTTGGGCCCAGGAGAAAAGTGACTGTGGCACAGTGAAACTAAAATCACAAAGCTCAGGAGAAATATCTCAGTCCCTGGCTCACAGGAGATGCAATTCTGAGCAAGGAGAATAGAGGCGATGAAAGGGGGGTAAATGGACAGTGTAAAACAGTGGTGTTTTGAATATAGCGGCAGGCAATGAGTGAGTTCAGCTACAAAGGATTTTGCAGTGGGAGCGGATCTGAGTCTGGGGGCACCCCTTCTGCAGAAACCAGCAAAAGGCTGAGCACCTGCCACCCCAAATAAAAACACAGACCCCATGCACTCATCCTTTCTCATCTTGTCAGAGGCATTCAGGGTTCATACAGAAGCATGCAGTCACTGGACAGTCAGGCCTCCAGAGGCATATTTGGATCACAGAAATTTACAAAACTTTGGCTTACACTCTGGAACTATCCATAGACTATGTAAGTGACAGATTCAGTAGACAGCCTGGATTTTCTGATTGCCTCATTTCCAGGTATGGCGGAGATTAAATCAGTAGATGTGAGCCAGGCCTACTACTAGCAAATCTACCGCAGAACTCAACCACAACCACAGAGGGGCAGAGCTCATCTTCCTCCCTTCCCTAAATGAGGCTCTCCTACTTGGACAGAGGCAAAGAATTCTGGAATAAAAAAAGAAAGTGATTTACATACACACCTCTGGTTTATCAAGCAGAATCCAAGAATTTGGATCTTTTATTTTATTTTTCTGGTGTTTCATTTTGTATGTGCCTGGGTACATATGGGTATGTACAAGTGTTTATTAGTGCTAGTTACTGCCTGTCCTTCTATAGTGGCTTAGTGTCTTACCATGCTACATCACCATCTCCCACACTAAGAGTTGTTTCATAAGGTTTGGTGAATTTGCAGTTGTGTTGTTTCACTAATTGGATTCATTCTTCATATATCTTCTCTCACTTCCCATTTATATTCCCCCCATCCCTTCTTTCTTTGAACTCTCAAAACCCTTCAGGTATCCCTTTCTCAACTTCTTTGGATGCATTAAATATTATCATTAAAATCTATTTTTTCTCTTTCTTCCTCTTTTCAGTGTGTGTAAGAGTGTTTGTGTGTATGTAACTACGTAATGAGTTATAGTTATTGCTTTTTATTCTGTAGAGTCTGACCTTGTTTTATAATTTATGTTGTTCCCTATCAAGGGTTTTTTCCTTGGTGTTTCTGTGTTTTTGCTGGTTTATTAATTGGAGTCAATCTCCCTATATCTCCTCTCACTTTTAATTTATATTCCCTTCCTACTCTTCTTTTTTTCCTTCCCTTCACATTACCTCTCAAAACTCTCCTCCCTCCCCCTTCTTTAATGGTATATAAATATTATTATAAAGAATAGCTTATTTAGTTAGCTTATGAGTAAAGCAGGTAGCTAGGAGAAGGGCCTGAGATAAAGGTGGAGTGACTAGTGATTTGATAAGAATTAAAAAACTAAGACTTTGGGCCAAGGATATACTTCCTCAGGCAACATGAAATGCAGCCTACTCCCTACTAAAGGGAGTTGCAACCACTCCCTACTAAGCTCCTGAGTCTTGAGAAATTTAAAATTCAAATTAACCAATTTTTTTTCTCTAAATTTCCAGTTTCCTTTAAACCCTATATGTTAATAAGTTGGGTTAAAGAGCTTGTGTTCCAATTGGTCATTCTCAGTCCACACAGCCATATGAGATAGGTGGCCACTAAACAATTGGGTGATTCTTGTGCTCTGCTTATCTATAAGTAGCTCAGGATATAGGGCCATGTGGTTCACCCACTCAAAACCTCTCCTGAAAATGCAGGAGCTATTCTTATTTCTAAAAACTCTCCTAACCTCCTCCTTTGGCTCAGGACTTCATTCTTCAATGTTGTGAGACCATGAACTCTGTACATACAGTAATATTATAACTAAAATTTGTCTTTTTTCTTACTATTTTATTTACTTTTTTCCCTCTGTTTTTCTCTAGCCTACCCTACATTATCCGTATTCCTTTATTTTCCAGTGCTAATGAAATAATAGAAAACATTTAAAGCAAGTTTTAAATTACATGTTGATATATGACTGGTTTATGGATTTTGATATTACTGGTAGTCCTTTCACCAAAGAACACACTGGTAGTCTTTTGCTTGCAGTGGAGTTAACATAGTACTTTGAATAGGCTGAGAGGGTACTTTTATGCTGAGTCATACCCAGAGCCAAGAGCATATCACAGGAAGAGAGCCACTTACTAAAAAAATCTCCACACAACAGTGGCAGAGATTTCCATCCAAATTGTGCTCTTCAACACAAAAATACAATAATCATGAACATACAAGGCAAGAAGATACCTCCAAAAATCCATAATTCCCCAAAAGCTGATCCAACAGAAACTGAAGTGAAAGACATTCTAGAGAGGAATTTTTAAAAATTGATAGTTTAAAATGGTCAGTGAGATCAAAGAGACAATCAAATGAATGAATCAATTACTAAAATGATCAAAGAGCTCAAAGAAGAAACAAATCAGCAGGTGGATGAATTAAGGAATACAATGCAGAATATGAAAGTTTACTTCAGTAAAGAGATAGAGATTCTGAAAAAAGAATCAGGCAGAAATTCTGGAAGTGAAAACTTTAGTAAGTTAAATAAAAAGTTCAATTGAAAGTCTCTTAAGTAATGCTTCCAAATACATTCTATGAAGCCAGCACTACCTGGATACCAAAACCAGGTAAGGACTCAACCGAAAAAGAAAACTAGGGACAAAAATCCTTGATGGACATAGAATGCTAAAAATCCTTAATAAGATCCTTAAACATAGAATTCAGCAACACAGTGATCAAGTTGGTTTCATCTTGTGGATACAAGGGTGCTTTGATATACATAAATCAATGAATGTAATACACCATGTAAATATAATCAAGAATGAAAATCACATGATCTCAAAAGATGCAGAAAAAGCCTTCGACAAAATACAACATCCTCTCATGATAAAAACTCTGATGAAAATAAGTATATAAGGATCTTGCCACAAACTGATAAAAGCCATTTATCACCAACCCACAGCCAACATCATATTAAATGGGAAAAAACTGAAAGCATTTCCTCTAAAATCAGGAACAAGGGTATCAACTCATGATTCTTATTCATTATAATACTTGAAACTTTAGCCAGAGCAATCACACAAGAGAAAGAACTAAAAGGGATATGAATAGGAAAGGAAGAAGACAAATTATCTCTTTTACAAATTATATGATTCTTTACATAGAAGACCCAAAAAATTCCACCAGAAAACGTTTATCTGATTAACAAATTCATGAAAATGGCAGGATACAAAACCAACATACAAATATCAGTAGCATTCCTACATACAGATAATGAGTCAACCAAGAAAGAAATCAGGAAAGCAATTCCATTCAAAAAAACTTC